ATAATGTCGATTCTGTGTATGAAGGAGGTTTCGTTGTATACTTTGATTTTATATTGTTTCTTGTTACCTATGTTGAATGGTGTTTTTATGTATAGTATTTCTGTGTCAAAGGGTATATTTTTGTCACGTGCAATTATGTGTTATGATTTTAATTGATAAAAAATTGACTATGTAATACATTTTCTTTGTTGAAGGGTTGTGACATCTGTGTTGAATCTAAGTGTTTATAAGGGTGGAAAAAGTTAACACAATGATCGACCAGGGCGCGAATTAAGATCTTATTAGTTTTAAAGTTAAAATTAATCAGTGACTAGAGGACAAGCCTGAAGTAGGAGAGAGAGGAAAGTATTGTATGTAAATTTACTATGCATTTCTGCTTTCCTATTTTGACATGGTATTACTCTGAATTTATCATATATTCTGTGTATGTGCAGATTTCACAAAACACGTGACAAAGAAAGTTGCCATTGTTACTGTTCTTCAATGGTAGAGCAGGTGGTATTTTGAGGTTACTGTTTTTCCTATGTTTGAATGATAATGATCACACGAGTAGCGCTAGCCAATCTGGTAAATACAATGTTTTTTGATAATAAGGAACATTAAATTCAAACAGTCTGGTTGATGATTTGGACCTGAGCAATTGAAGGTATAACATTCAGTAGAAGCGACCATCTACGCTTAATAACAGCAAATACACACACTTTGTTTGAGATTTGAATAAAGATTGATCATTTTGCTCATCATTTTGTGTTCAGTCCCTTCCTTTCTCAAACACAGTTATTCAGAGATTCAGTATTATCTCCTGAGGAATGATACAGGAAGGCTATTATCTGATTATGGGATGATGAGTTATTAAGTTCTACTTTTTCTTCCGTTTTTTTCTGATGAAGATTGAGGCAATATTCCTCTATCTGAACAGTTGCTAGGTGGAAACAAGGTTGAAGAAGATTATCACATTAATACTAAGTTTGTTAAGAAAAAAAAAGACCTGGGCCAGATAATATTTACCCAATGGTTTTGAAAGAGGTTAAGGATTGGATATGTGATCCACTTGTTATTATTTTATCTAAGTCCTTGAATAGTAGGCAGGCGCCAGAAGGCTGGAAATTGGCTAATGTTACTCCACTTTCAAGGGAAGTGATAAAAATTGTCCCAGTAATTATAGTCCAACTAGTCTTACATCAGTGCTAGGAAAAATTGTTGAAAATGTGATAAAAGATAATTTGTAGTCTTTTAACAAATTTTAAAATTTTGTTGGATAATCAGTATGGTTTCACTGGGAGAAAATCTTTTCTTAATAATCTCTTGACATTTTTGCTTATGTTTATGCATAAGTTATTGCTTATGTAGATGAGGGTACATGTGTAGATATGGCGTATTCTGAATTTTCAGAAAGCATTTGACAAGATGCCAAATAAAAGGCTTGTTAAAAAGTTATCTCTGTAGGTGTGAGATAGAAAAGTGGCTAAGTGAAAGTGAGAGTGGCTAAGTAATATAGATGAAGGAATGGTCAATATATTATTTGAATATGCTGATGACATTAAAGTTTTGAATGTTGCTGGCTATGAAGAAGATGCTACTGCCTTACAACAGGATTTGGATTGTTTGGTGAGTTGGGCGATTAAATGACAGATGGCTTTTAATTATAATAAATGCAAGGAAATACACGTAGGATATCACAATTTGAATTATGGATATGCTTTTAAAGGGAATAACCTTATCAGTGTTTTGGAAGAAAATGATCTTATTATTGTGGTTCGTCAATCTCGTGAACCATCCAAGTCAGATGATATCTTGAGATTACAACCTCTATTATGTTTGAATGGAAATTACCAGTTACGTGAGTAGAGCTAGTTACCCTGGATAAGTCTGAACTTTACCGATTCAACTAAGTAATATGAGATTTAGTCAGCCTTGAATTTGCTTTTGATTGTGTTATTCAGCTTGGAAATAAGTCTGGAGGGAGTATAGCCTACCTGATTAATCCATATCTCCAGAAAGAAGGCTGTCCGTCGTTCAAAGGTGTTGTACACACGTTGTTACTTTGTGCTGTCTAAATAAAGATTGTTTCATTGTGTATTACACATCGTATCCAGTTCAGTATTACGTTGCAATATATCTTGCCAAACCTCTGATTATATAACGAAACCACCGAATTTGCTCTTTCCGGAAATCGGTTTTAAATGAGAATACCACACTATGATGGTGTAATTATTTATTTTAAGCTACGATCAAAAAAAGTTCCATGGACTTACATCATTAAATGTAGTTGCCATATAATGCATCTAGCTGCTTCAAATGATTGAAAGGAAAAGAAATGCTTCTGAACAGTCTTGAAGACCATCTCAAGGTCGTATATAACCATATTTTAGTGTTAAGTGGCAAAAACGTTTAAACGAATTGCAGTAATTTTCAGACTGTAGAATAATTACAGTAATTTTAAACTGTAGTATGCATATGATTCTGGCCAACTGGTAGTAGAGGAAGCAATATTTGTATAGACTGTTTGAACTTTTGGTTGCATTCTAATTGGATTACACGTTACTTATGTCTGAAGATCCTACATACACTAATAGACTTGTTCTTCCCATTTACAGAATCCGTACATTAAAGTTTTTTAAGTTTGTGAGTATACTTTTGAAATTCTTAATTTAAATAACATTCTCTTTCATAGTGTTGCTTTGCTTTTCAACAGACTAGGTGTGGAAAAAGATAGACTAATCAAAACACATGTTAACAATTTCATGAATTTGAAGTATGTTAAATCGGTCAAAGATATATATCGCTGGATGAAAGGAAAGGAATTGAGTATTTGGCTTGAACAAAGTGCATCTAGCTATGTTAACGGAATCCACTCTGACAGACCTGAAAACAAGTTATGCAAATATGATTCACGAAGAAATCACCAAGATCTATTTACCAGCCAGAGAAGTTATATTAGAGATAAAACAGAATTTCCAGTTTGATGACCCAACCTTCGAGCATGCCAAGATTGTGAACCCCGTGAACACTCAAAATTTAGAGCCAAGAAGCTTATTCAACATTTTGCAAGAGCGTGCTCATCCAGACTGGTTAATTGGTGAGATTGATGAAAAGCTCAATGTTTAATTGAGCTCCCCGACAATGTGAACATAGATGTTATTACCTATATTGAATATTGTCGATATATCAACTCTTGACACTTTCCTACAGGTATTTTTTGCCAAGGGCTATTTTAAGGAACTTTCAGAACTGAACAAACCACAGGTTGAGGTGTATACTACATATTAACGTCCTCCAAAGCTAAAAATGTTAGCAACTGTACAAAATTCAATTTCCCACTGCAAATATAATTTTTTGAACTACGCAAAGTTGTCTGAGCTGCAAGTTAAAATAGCCTCTGCTTTGCAACTCCCTATTTACAGAAGCTGATAAAATGTCTTTTTCTTCAAACATTATGAAAGAAGTTAAAACAGATAGACGAAACAGATAAGTATTGTCAACATTAAAAACAATAATTCAGTGTTATGGACTGAAAAGAAATAAAGTACCAGCGAGTGCTCTTGAGGTGGGTCCTCATGCAAGCAAAGATTCAATCATGTAGAAGCGAATACCACTGACATTGAGTACACTGACACCTCCATGTTTTCGGAACCTAAATAAAACAATTCCCATTTCTAATTGACTTCAATCGATGGAGAATAAACAATGAGGTAGAAAACGCATGAAATGTCTACATATCACAAATAGAAATTTTGATTACTTTAATACAAAGTAAAAGTTGAGGTTTTACACAAAATATTACAATTGCAATTAGTACTAAAATGAATGACTGTAATATTGATAATTTATTTAGTTTTTCTGCATATGCGGTTTAATAATCCCATAGCGAATATGTTGTTTTATTTTTTCTTTATGAATAAATATATTTTTATTGAAACTTTGCTCTGCATATACAATCATACACACTTGCAATTAGGGCTAAAATATTTATGATTTAACTAGCTATCTTATGTGTGCTATTTTGTATTTTTATAAGTTTTTATAATTCACATTTTTTTCAGATTTTATGATAAAAATTAACGAATTAGGTTTTACTACTAGTCAAACAGAGAACAATAGCGAAAGTTATAAATTGTTACGCCTCCAGTCGTTAATTGATTTTCCGTAACTTCGTTCCGACGAAACTTTAGCG